CCAACCATGGCCAAAAAATAGGCCAGTGTGCCCCCTGCCACCTGCCACTAACCCGGTTGTCTCAGGAGCTAGCACCATGGCACTGGACTCTCCCTCCCTCATTAACTGTGTGCTAATTAGGTACCTGCCCCTGGGGTGCAGGCAATGATTACCTCCCCCCACCCCAGCACCACATGGGTGATAGGGGTGTCACAGTGGCTCAGTGCCTGCCATGGCACACACACTGTGGTTGTGGCTGGACTGATGGGCAGTATGTGTGCTGTGGCGGGGCTGTGAGCCAGGGATAGCCCGACCTGGGTGGCAGCAGCAATCTGATCCAGAATCCTCATTTCTGTAAAAGCCAGGTTGGCAAGGTGGTTCTGCCCCTCCAGACCAAGACAAAAGGATCCCCAGGGAAAACACTGAACCCCAACACTGAAAACAGATAGGGGGATGCATGTACAGCTTGCTCTCAACCCCTGCCAGGTCCAGCTCTGCCTGGCTCTCACCTTCTCTCCCAACTCCACAGACCATTAACCCAGACACGTCCTTTCTGACTGCCCATCCATCATGCCACCTGCCTCCCCTGGCATGCTGCACAGCATCACCTCCTGCATGGCTAATTGCTGATGCTGGGCAGGATGCAGGCAGCAGCCACGGCAGGATTCTGGTGATGGGCGGGGTCCGCCCAGCAGCCCCGGCAGGCAGAGGACTGGCAGCTCAGCCTTTCCCCACGCACAGCCTGTCAGTGGCAAGGCCAGACCTGCTGGTGACATGGAGGAGCTTTGGTGCCTTTGCTGGGGGCTCAGGGTGCACTGGTGTTCCTGCGCTGCTGCTGCTGTAGGACATGGGCACAGCCTGGCCATCTGCCTCTTTCTCTCAGATTTCCAGGCATTGATGGCTCCTTGTGAGGTACCTGTGCCCCACAGCAATGGCAAGTGCTGCATTGCAAACTCCAGTGGCTACTGCTGTCCCTCTGGGAAGGTGCTAAGGGCTTGCACACAGCGCTAATCATCCCCAAGAACCTGCCCATCAGCCTGGCTTCCCGCTGTGCCCCCCTCCCCCCAGCAGTCTGCACCTGGCACAGCCCACACGTCTACCTGGCAGCCAGGTTAGAGGGAGCAGAGTTGGTGCCAGTCTGCTCCAAGAAAGGAGAAACTGAGGCACATTCCTTGAGGAGCCAGAGGGGCTCAGCAAGAGCCCCCTCAATGCCACATGCCTGAAAATGTCACCTGCCAAGTGGGAAAACCCCACAGTGCCAGGTTGGGAGCACTTAATTTCCACACCCTGGGCAAGTGCCCTTTGCTCCTCCTCGTGTCAGTGCACCAGGCTTGGCACAACAGTCAGGTCAGGGCCAGTGGGAGGGGAGCATGCCCGAGCAGCCTCAAGCTGCCACCAGCCCCAGCACACCACCCCATCCCCACTGCCGCCTCCATGCCTGCAGCACTCAACACCAAATCCCAGATATCCCCCTACTCCACAGCTGCATCCCTCCGCCGTGTTTCCTCAGCTGTTCCCCCTCCCTGGGGCAGCACAGCCACCAAATCCCCACCAAGGGGCGGCTGATGACGGAAGCTGGCTGCGGGGGGATTTCTGGCAGCCCCCGAGTGCCGCCCAGCACTGCACGCACCGCCTTGACTCACTCCACCGCCTCCTTCCCGCAGCCGGAAGGTGGATGCAAAGGGACCGCTCGCCCGGCACGTCGCTCAGAGCATCCTCCCTGCATCGTGCCTGCATCCTCCTTTCCCAAAACACCCCGCCAAAAACCTCCTCTCTCTGCTTCCCACCTGGCCTTTCAGCCCAGGTTATTTCTCCCTGTGCTGTAGGTGGGAGGTGCCTGGCCATTTGACCATCTCCACCTGGGACAGGTACAGCCACGCACTCCTGCTTGGCCAAAGGCATTGCACCCTATATTTTTGTAGGTCCTAACAAAATAGCTTCCTCTGTGCAAGCTGTAACAAACACACAGCAGTGTCACATTTGATCTCAAAGGTGTCCCCGTTCATCCAGCAAACCACCACGGGGGACTGGATCTAGGGAAGGCTGTGGGAATGGGACCCACAGGGGAGCTGGCACAGCCAAATGAATCTGGGACATCAGGAACGATGCCGGTTCCATTTTGCCACCCACCAAGCTCTGCACACACGGTGCCTGCAGCAGGGTGTGGGATTTCAGGAGCCTACAGAACTGATGTTACCCTAAATCTCAGCCCCAGAGCATCCATGGGGCAAAGCCTTCCCAACAGAGTCCCCTTCCTCCAGGGACAGGTGGGGGAACCCAGAGGATACAAACATGGGATGAAGGCAATGGGGTGGGGGGAGTCCAGGTATGGGAGAGACCCTGTCCCTGAACGGTGGGATAAAATCCATGCTCCACAGCCCCATGGGACCAATACTGACACTACCACTGTGGGGTCTGCACCTTTCACAGGGCACAGGGGGCCAGAATCCTCCCAGCTCTGGCTGGGTCGGGTCTGCCAGTAGCAAGCACCTGGCACTGATTTGCACCCTGGAGCAGATAAACCCCCCTGCTCCGTTCTCAGCAGTGACCCCCCGCCCAGCCAGCCCCTCACCACAGGCATCCCACACTCCTGACCTTGCTCCTCATCTGCCCCGAGGTGGAAACCTTCCGAATGAGCTTGTGGGAACTGTCCTCCTGCTCGCCCTCGCTGTCTGACGACTCCTCACCGCCCGCCTCAGGCGAGATGGGTGCCAGCTTGTCCGAGTCCAGGGACGACACTGATTCCCGAGTCTTCCTCAAGAACAGGTCCCCAGGCACCAGCTTCTCAGCCATCTTCGCACCCGGCTTGGCTTAGGGCTCTGCAGCCTCCTGTGACAGCCCTGAGAGAACAAGGACACACAGGAGTGGAAGAAGAGCCCTGAAAGGGGGTGCACAGCCCCTCACCCTCTAGGGCTCAGCCAGCTGGGAGGTGCAGTCCTGGAAATCAGGGGAGATGGCGCTTCCTCGCCCAGGAACGCCGCTCAGAGCGGCTTCCTCGCAGGCAAAGTTTCCCTTCCTCGCCTTTTTTTCGGTGTCTCAACTCTTCCTCAGCCTGCCTGGCATCCCAACGCCATTCCTGGCTCGGCCGCGGGAGACTGTAGCCACCCCCATGCCCTGGCACTGGTGCACGGAGGGGTGTACCCCCCTTCCCGAAGCCTATGCCAGTCCCCCTGCTGCCCATCCCCGGCGTGCCGGGCTGCTCGGTGCGGCCGGGGCCAGTGCGGGATCTCCATGAAAAGCAGCAGCTGCCCCCCACCATCTGCCTGGCTCCAGCAACCGGGAAGGCACGGGAGCATCTCCTGCCCCGCGCCCCGAGCAGGTGGCTGCGGATGGGCTGGGAT